TATGTTTATCCCTGTGAGCTACATGCGAGCGTACGTAATGGTGTGATTTCTGAAACCAGCTTCCAAGCGCAAGTATAACCGGTCGAGGCTCAACTTTTATCCTACAACATTCAGTTTTTGGCCATTCTTTTCATGACTGCAATCAGAACCAAACTAGCTAGTCCTTCAATCTTATCAGCAGCAGAAGCCTACGTTTCACGAAGAAAAGCATATAGAATGAAGCATATAGAATGAAATAGTAAACGTATATATATGTACACACGCGCGCGCATTTTATTAAAAAGAGTTTAAGGAAGCATATAGAATAATAAACATTAATTGTTTAGGAATTTTTGGGGGTACCTTTTCAGGGGTTCGAGGGAGCTGCTGCGATGGGATCACTCAGCTGCCTCAATAGAATGAAGCCATATTACGCAGGTACGTCACATGTGCAAATAAGTTACGGTTAACTTTCATAAATTGTAAAAGTTTTTATTTAAAATCCATCCCGTATACAGATAACCAAAAGAACAACATATGAATTAGGCAAGGAGCGCGCAAACTGCGAAAGTTCTCAGAAAGTTTACAGCTGATATCGCAATCGATGTAGTTGCTTTTGTATTAAAAATATCATGGTCAAGGAACAATAAAAGGATCAACTACCTTGATAGAAAATTTAAGTAAAAAGAAATAACTAACTATTAACAAACCTTAAAAGCACATCTTTATACTAAATCCCTTAATTTTTTTCCAGTTCTCTGAGAATTGGAAAAAAAAAATGCATATACGCTGCTATTTGTTCACTCGCAACCAATCATGGACCGGGGGCAAAAGAACCAGGGACAAGTCGAACATCAATGTAAAAACGTACGGATATTCTGGTAATATTGCCAGCAACAACCTTTCCCAAAGACATTACGGTAGCACCTCACGCTGAAACACCTTAATAAAAATCCTACCTTTAATTCGGTAACTGATCCCTAGCTAACCAACACCACTATCCTACAGTGAGCTGCCATGGGTCTGCTGCTCTCTCCTACAAACCTGAGCCAACATCATGCATTCCTCTACTAGAAAAATGCTCAGACCGAGAACAAGCGAAACAAATCCACATCCGAATGATCAAAACAGGCCTTGTTCGCATCAAACCATTCCCTGTAGCAAATTGTTAACTGCTCTTTGTAACACCTCGCTGGCTACTGATATTGGCTTTTAACCTACCCTCTTCAGTTCTTTGACAGAATCCAACACATTCATGTGGAACACCATCATCAGAGCTTTCTCCAAGCCAAAATCAAGAACAATCTATCCTCCTCTACTGCCAGATGCTCGACAATGCAGCTCCTCATAACCTCCACACATTTCCTTTCCCTATAAAGGCCTGCACTCTCGAAGAAATTCATCAAATTCATTGCCACGTCATCAAATTTGGCTTCGCATCTGAAATCTACACTCTGAACGCTCTTCTTCATGCTTATGCCAAGTTCGGCTGCATTGCCTCTGCCAGCAGCCTCTTCAGAAGAATGCCACTGAGAGATCCCTATGCAAAAAGTGAACAAATTGATATTGCAAAAAGGCTATTTGATATGATGGAAGAAAAAAATGTTATATCATGGACTGTAATGATAAATGGATATGTAGAAATTTTCCTCTTTAAGGACGCATTGGAACTCTTTCAAGAGAAGCAAGAAAGAAGAGTGGAACCTGATAATGTAGCGCTAGCATGTGCGCTATCTGCCTGTGCACACCTTGACGCTCTTGAACAAGGTCGATGGGTTCACACCTACATCAGAAGGAAAAAAGTCGAGTTAGATAAGGTACTTGGCCGTGTTCTTGTGGACATGTATGCCAAATGTGGTGAGCTTGATGAAGCAGTGATCACCTTCAATAAAATAGTAGAGACAAGATGTGTTTCTCTGTGGACAGCCATTATCACCGGTTTTGCAATACATGGCCAAGGACGATAAGCGCTTCATCTTTTCAAAGACATTGAAGATAAAGAAATTAAGCCGAATGATATTACTTTTACAGGAGTTCTCACAGCATGCAGTTACTCCGGTTTGGTCGAGGAGGGGAAAGCTCTGTTTGAAAGAATGGAGAAATATTACAATATTAGGCTGACAGTTGAACACTATGGTTGCATGGTGGACGTTCTAGGCCGAGCTGGTTGATTAAACGAAGTTGTTTGGGGAGCATTGCTCGCTGCTTGTCGAATTCATGGAGATCATAACAGGGGAATGCATGTAGGAAAAATTTTGATCAGGTTGGACCCAAACCATGGAGGACGTTATGTAAATTTGGCAAATGTTTTAGCAGCAAATGGGGATCGGAATCGAGCTGCAATGGTGAGAAAGATGATGAGAAGAAGGAAGGTTCTGAAACTACCAGGATCCAGCCTGATAAATGTTGATAGAACAGTGCATGAGTTCTTTGCTGGAGACAGATCGCACAAATATATAGAAAAGATCAACCTTGAGTGGAATAAGATTCTGGGAAGACTGAAGAAGGAAGGGGATCAGAGACGTAGTAAGTGTCAAGCAGTTTGGAAGAGGACGAGAAAGAAACTGCAGTCCATTTCCATAGTGAGAAGCTCGCTATTGCTTTTGGGCTCATTAGAACTGAACCAGGATTAACAATTCATATAATCAAGAACCTAAGAGCGTGCAAGGACTGCCATAACATAAGCAAGATAATCAGCAAGGTTTACGGTCGTAAGATCATCATGAGGGACAGAAGTCGGTTTGATATTTTTGCAGATGGTCACTGCTCCTGTAAAGATTATTGGTAAAGAAGTTGAGCATAACAGTTCTACCAACTAATTTAACACTAAAGATAGCGGATAAGTTGATAAGAGCAACAGAGAAAAACTAAACGATGTAAACATGTGTCTAATGTATAATATGAAAGAAGAATACATAATTGAACGTAGAGTCAAGGAGTTATTTGGAAGTTTTGTCAAAGTAATCTCAAACATAGAAAACTATCATACTCCATGCGGTATTTCTGACAATTATCCATAACTCCTGCTAAATGCAAGAAGCAAAATATAATATAGGACCCAAGCAATGAAATAACAAATTCAGATGTCGCAATATAATTATGTCATTTGTCTTGTACACGCTTACCCGAAGAAAATTAACAGACATGGAAGAAAAACATCATCCGTGTTTTCAGGTTTTTGTAGGTGCGATAGCAGGTGCATTAGAGAAGAACTTAAATAGACTTCTCATACAGTTAAGAAGCCATTTCAGAGGTAGGAGACACAACCTTCCATGTACTTTAAAAAAACTTTAATAAAGGATAGAATCAGCTACATTACAGTTATTCCACGCAAACAGCAAGCAGCATAAGACATAGTTGGATTGCTATAAGCCGACTCCAAAAGCATGGGATAATGGCTTTATCCAGCATGATTATGTAACCAGGTACCTGACAGTCATACCAAAAAAATGCAAGGTATTTATACCAAACTCAAAGGAAACCACTGTTCTATACAGCACAAAAACCGAATGAATGATCCCAGACTGGAGGTGCACAACCAATGTATTTAGAAGCTGTCTCCTCCCTTAATGAAAGAAATAACAATAACAACCTTCTCATATGACCACTAAATAGAATCAGAGTACTCAGCTTCGTCCAGGGGGCAAAAAGGATATATACGTATAAGAGAATAAAAAGGGGTGAAAATTGGAACAAGAACAAACAACAGACACTTACCTACTTTCGTTTCAAGAGACGGCATAACAAGGAAATTTAACTTTCTAATTTCCATTTTTAAATATCTCTAATATTTGAAATTTTTAGAGGTATTGAAAATACAGTCGCGGACAGAATTCTCCGTTTAAGAGACAGGAAATTAACAAAACTTAAATGGTCCTGAATTCCTTCCAGAACTCCTTAAGAGTTTCTGTAGAAGCTGTCAGTAACCAGAAGGGCAAAATTTTAGGAACTATGATACTTTTATGTTTTTCCAGGAGAATCAAGGGAGAAGGGAAAGTCAGTTCTCAAGTCATTTGTCATTATCTCTGTTCAGCAAAATATGATAATTGTATTAGCTAAAAGGCATACATATTTATCTACGACCACTATATAGAATCAGAGTACTCAGCTTCGTCCAGGGGGCAAAAAGGATATATACGTATAAGAGAATAAAAAGGGGTGAAAATTGGAACAAGAACAAACAACAGACACTTACCTACTTTCGTTTCAAGAGACGGCATAACAAGGAAATTTAACTTTCTAATTTCCATTTTTAAATATCTCTAATATTTGAAATTTTTAGAGGTATTGAAAATACAGTCGCGGACAGAATTCTCCGTTTAAGAGACAGGAAATTAACAAAACTTAAATGGTCCTGAATTCCTTCCAGAACTCCTTAAGAGTTTCTGTAGAAGCTGTCAGTAACCAGAAGGGCAAAATTTTAGGAACTATGATACTTTTATGTTTTTCCAGGAGAATCAAGGGAGAAGGGAAAGTCAGTTCTCAAGTCATTTGTCATTATCTCTGTTCAGCAAAATATGATAATTGTATTAGCTAAAAGGCATACCAGTTTCATCTCACAAAACAAAGACAATCATCTTTTCGAATTGTTCTGATTCTGCAAATACAGTAGTTATTCTTTTGTAATATTTTGTAATTTATTTTTGCAAACTCAAAATGTATATAGCCTGTCACTTCAGCTAGCAGAAATATGTTGTTCTGCAACCCAAGACTGCTCGGGATCTAGTTGAACTTTTCCTATCTGGAAAGAACAAAACAAAGTAAGATTGTCAGACCAAGGTCTTGGGGAACAAATGTAAGTAAAAATGATTCCAGTACCTTTGCATTTTCAACACAGACAAAATCTTTGTAGCAGGCTTCCATCTGTAAGTGTGGATTCCATAAAACAGCATCCGTCCAGCTGCATGAGCAATAAGGATGAATGAAAAGATATAGGAAGAGATTTGTAGAGGAGAAAAAGACAAGAAAAGAAAAGAAAAATACAAGTCTGCAAAAGAATTCAGGTACATACTTTTTGTTTTTTATGGTTATTACATCTCCCAGTCCATTGTCAAGAAGAAGCTCATTCGGTGCGTTGAGGTAAACACAATCAACAAATCCAGGAAAATTGATCACTTCCCTAAATTACAATGAAACTGGTTTAAAAACTTGGAAATACTTGATCATTCTACATCTTACAAACATGCATAGGTGACATAATATGTGCTATTTGAATATCAAACAAAGCATGTGCTATGTCAATGTTTTAGCAAGATTAATTGGCTAAGACACATCATCGTTGAAACTGTTTCCAACAAAATAGGGTTGGATGTGGAGGACAAGTCAAGGTGGAGAAAGCTCAGGAAATAAATTGACCGAGCTTCTGCACCAGCTCTTAACCTGACATCAGCTATCTATCAAAAACTCCCTAGACGAGGTAACAATGAGGAAGAGAAGACCTTCATAAGAAGGGCAGCCAATGATAGGCCTAAAATTGTGCTCCTACAGAGAGCATCCAAAGAGAGAACCTCAATGCTCCAAGATCCAACAGACTTCCAAGTCAAAAGTAGCAAGATGACACATTTCTAAAATCTTATTCATCTCTATGGCACAAATATAAGTCGATGAAACAAATGAAATCAAACTCCTATTAGTTGATAAAATTTCACTTCCTAGAATCTTGAAACATAAATAGTTTTATGTTTCAACTGATTATACCTTAGGAAAGTACTAGTTCTTGGCCAGACATTTATGAATAGTAAATAAGAGAGACACTTCAATACAGACCTCTCCTCCTTACCCTCCAAAGGATTGGAAGGGTCAGGATCCTTGTTGAGAGTTGTACAACCTTTAAGACCTTTTACTGATGCTCCTGTCACAGATGCCTGCAAATAACCAATGTGCTATAAGTGCCAGCTTGAACACTTTCACGTTTTGGAGTATATAACATAAAGAAACATGTGCATGGTCTTAACACAGAAATAGGTATGTAATGCAGTGCTAAAGGAGAAGGGCTGCTTGTCTGTATTGGTGATAGTCAGGACAGTAGACAGGGACTTAGAATTTAGCATGACCTGCAAAGCATCACAAGAAAATGATATCATCATAAGACAATTTAGTAATTTACTGAAGACATGAAGAGGTGCTATGAGATCTACAAAAATATGGAGGAGAATTTTTCTAAAAGGACCCTTTAAAAAAATTAGCAAAATCAACATTTTTGCTAAATAATTAGCAAAGTCGACCTCTTTTTGGCCAGCTCATCAAGACTGACCAAAAAGAGGACGGTTTTGCTAAATTTAATGTTAGAAATACACGGGACTATTAGTCCCGTGTGTTTAGACTGTGAAAACGGCGAAGGAATTGTGAAAAACGTGAAGAATAACTCAAAACAGACTCCACCACACCCTGGTGTGGTGTCTGCCATGGGTGTGGTAGAATCTGTCCTGCACCACACCCTCTGCCACACCCATGGTGCAGGGTGTGGCAGACTCGTTTTTAGAATCCCAATCAGTTTGGGATTGTGTTTTGCTATAAATAGAGACACGTTTTTTAGGGTTTCCTAGGCTTGGTTTAGGCTTTGATTAAGCATTGATTGGGGGCTATTTGGAGCACAAAAAGAGGTATTTTTGAGCTATTTGTTTAGGGGTTTTATTTGGAGAGATTAAGAGTTTTGTTGGTGAGATTAGTTTGTTCCTTCGAGTGATTTGTAATCTCAGTTTGTACTCTTTCTCTATTAGTGAAAACCCCATCCCCCCTTGCCCCGTGGACGTAGGCAACTTACCGAACCACGTTAAAATTGGTGTTTTGTTTGTGCATTGATATTTGGTTCGTTTGACTCTCTTGGATTGGCGTTTGGTTTGGTTCCTCGACACAGCACCAGGCACAACAAGTGGTATCAGAGCTCGGGCAACGCTTGGGCTATTTGGAGGAGTAGATCGCTTTGGAAGTTCATCTAGGACTTCGTTTGGTGATAAAGGTGGGATCTTTTTAGTAAAAATCTCGTCTTTTTCAGTTTGGATCTATTTCTCATTTGTTTCCGCATTGGTTTGGTGGTGCCTTGAGGATTATGGCCGAGAAAGAAGGAGTTGTGGGCAGTACTTCCGGCGTGAAGACCGTCCAAAGCTTGAATATCCACTCGATGAAGATTGACGTGGAAAAGTTCAATGGCACAAACAATTTTGGACTTTGGCGATGCGAAGTCATGGATGCGCTCAACGCGCAAAATTTGGAAGATACGTTGGAGTTGGACGGGAAACCGGACAACATTGATGAGAAGGTTTGGAAAAAGATGAATCGAACGGCGTGTGGTGTGATTAGGTCTTGTCTCACTCAAGATCTAAAGTATGATGTGATCAATGAGACTTCTGCAAAGAAGATTTGGGAGATCCTTGAGAGCAAGTATTTGACCAAGAGTGTGGAGAATCGCTTGCATTTGAAGAGGAGGCTTTACCGCTTCCAGTTGAAGAAAGGAACCTCCATTGGTGATCACATGAACCACTACACGAAGCTTCTTGCGGATTTGACGAATGTAGATGTGGTGATTGAAGATGAGGACAAGGCGTTGTTGTTGTTGAGTTCCTTGCCCGACGAGGAATATGAGACCTTCGTTCTTACTCTTATTAATGGGAAGGCATCTCTTTCGTATAGTGAGGTCACCGCTGCACTTGTGAATTATCAGCTTCGAAAGAAGGATAAGGAGACTTCGTTTGAGCCGGTAGCGGGGGCGTTGGTCGCAAGAGCAAAGGGTCCAAACCGTAGTGGGAGGTCGCAGTCTAGAGGGGCACATCTTGGAGTTCGTAAGAATCAATGTGCCTTTTGCAAAGAAGATGGACATTGGAAAGCCGATTGCCCAAAGTTAGTTGATCGAGCCGGGAAGAATAAGGGAAAAGCTATTCAAGCTTCAGAGGCGAATGTTGTCAAGGCTAGTGGCAACGATTCAGATTCGGATTCTTCGGGCTACTCGTTATCTGCACTGCCGTCAGTTTGTGTTGCCTACTCTACAGAGTGGATATTGGATTCGGGTGCTACATACCACATTTGCCCTAGGAGGGATTGGTTCTCCAGCTTTCAGGAGTTGGAAAGAGGGGATTTCGTGCTCATGGGGAATGATCACAAATGCTCTATTGGTGGTATTGGTACTGTTCGGATCAGGATGAGTGACGGGGTGATTCGGGAGTTGGTTGGAGTGAGGTTCGTTCCTCAGTTGAAGAAGAACATCATTTCACTTGGAGCTTTGGAGGCAGCTGGCTATAGGGTGACCTTGGCGGATGCACGCTTGAAGGTTACATTTGGGTCCATGATTGTGATGAAGGGCGTCAGAAGAAGAAATTTGTATTATTTGCACGGAAGCACGGTGATTGATAGGGAAATGACGACTTCATCAGATTCGGCTAGACTGTGGCATTGTTTGGTGCTGGGGTATATGATTGGTAATACCGTGCATTGGTTGTTGAGGAGTGCTATGACCTGCAGATTGAAGTCCTGTGAGCACATTAGGATGAGCGAGACCGTGGTGGAGTTTGGCACTTCTATCCATCGAGCGAGGGGTCTTTTTGGAGGTGTTCAGTCAGGCATTTGGGGGCCTTCCAAGGAGGCATCATTGGGAGGTAATCGTATCTTGGTTTCCACAGTTGGTGATTGTTCTAGGCATTATTGGGTCGCGACCAGTTCCCGTTGGTGTAAAGTCCTAGAAGTCAACAACAATTGGAAGAAGTGTATTGGCAGAAAGGTAACTCATTGTTTCAGCTTTGGTAGGGGTCCTTTCTTGCGTTGGTGCCGAGCTCACGGCAATAGGAGACACTTCATTGGTGTGGAGACTTTGGGGCGACGAGATGAGATGACAGTTTCGATGGGTCGTTCCTTTCTGGAGGAGGATCGGCGTTTGATGTCGAGCATTGGCATTGGTGTGCGGGCTTCGACATATTTGGGTCATCTTATGCATAGGTCGCCGACTGCTGCTTTAGGAGTTATTAGATCTGGTGGAGCTGCTTCAGATTTTGGGTCGCGTCGGATATTTGGATACCCAGCATTTGGTCACATCGTGGATGTGAGATTGGATCCGATTGCGCGTTTGGGGTTCGGAGGCTCAGTTGATTATCGTTTGATCAGGTCGTTTGGATATCGCAGCAGGTGGAGGGTGATGCTACTTCACGTTGGGTGGAACTTATTCCACATACTCCAGATCATACTGCGTCATTTGGGATTCCAGCTGAGGTGACACAGGTTGGGGATCATTTGATTTCGGATGCAGATGATGGATTGGTTTTGGATTCGGTTGCAGCTGGTGGACATGATTTGGATACGGCCATTGGTTCACCTCATATGGAGGTGTTTGATTTGTATCAGTTTGGGGCCGCTATTAGTTGCAGATCCGTTGGCGATATTGGGGAAGAGTTGCAGACTTTTCTATTTGTTTGAGGGCCTTTGGAGGCCGTTTGGGTGAACTACGTGAAGGCTTGATTCCTTGGGCAAGAGGATACGTAGGCAGTCAGTTTTGATGCAGCCGATTTGGTGAGTAGATACCGACGTTTGGGTGAGTGTTCGCACTCCCGTTTGGGTCTCGACTTGTGTGGATGGAGTCCGTTGTCATGAGTCCGTTGCCGTGGCGTACTGGATGCAACAAGTGAGGCATTTGTTTTGGTTGGTGTCGGCTCAGTGTTGGGAACACTTCGCCGAGGTGGAGAATTGTGAAAACGGCGAAGGAATTGTGAAAAACGTGAAGAATAACTCAAAACAGACTCCACCACACCCTGGTGTGGTGTCTGCCATGGGTGTGGTAGAATCTGTCCTGCACCACACCCTCTGCCACACCCACGGTGCAGGGTGTGGCAGAATCTGTCCTGCACCACACCCTCTGCCACACCCATGGTGCAGGGTGTGGCAGACTCGTTTTTAGAATCCCAATCAGTTTGGGATTGTGTTTTGCTATAAATAGAGACACGTTTTTTAGGGTTTCCTAGGCTTGGTTTAGGCTTTGATTAAGCATTGATTGGGGGCTATTTGGAGCACAAAAAGATGTATTTTTGAGCTATTTGTTTAGGGGTTTTATTTGGAGAGATTAAGAGTTTTGTTGGTGAGATTAGTTTGTTCCTTCGAGTGATTTGTAATCTCAGTTTGTACTCTTTCTCTATTAGTGAAAACCCCATCCCCCCTTGCCCCGTGGACGTAGGCAACTTGCCGAACCACGTTAAAATTGGTGTTTTGTTTGTGCATTGATATTTGGTTCGTTTGACTCTCTTGGATTGGCGTTTGGTTTGGTTCCTCGACACAGCACCAGGCACAACATAGACATCACTAATCATCTCTTAAGTACAATCCGGAAAACACACGGGATTAGTCCCGTGTGTTTAAGCGGCATCTTACACCCATCCATTCAGCAGCAACTTCCACCAAAAAAGTGAAAACTTTTCAAATCAAGGATCCTCACTACACCCGAAAGGCCGAAACCCATACCTCAGCTAACCATCAAACACTCAACACATGTCCAATAATATCCGGGTTCCACAAAGTCAACGTGTACATAAAATAACGGAAATTTTCCGAATTCGGAATCAAGCGCTCGTGGATGTTTTCAGCCCGCCATCATTTCCTGCAAGGGACAAAGGCCTTCTCTGTTGCTTGCTCGCTTTGAAGCGGTAGCACTTCGTGACAGCAGGTTACCCAACCATGTGTAAAGCGTGGGGCCATGCTCTTCAATACTCTCGAAAGCCCACGTGATCTCCACACCATACAAACGCCTATGCGTCCTCCCGCAGCGTCATGTCACCAGTCGACCAAGCCATTGAAAAGCCTGAAAGCACACGGGACTATTAGTCCCGTGCGTTTTCTAGATTGTGCTTAGGAGTTAATTAGTAAACGCTAAATGCATGGGACTAATAGTCCCGTGTATTTTTAATGCCAAATTTTACAAAATCGACCTCTTTTTTGCCAGCTTACCAAGGCTGGCCAAAAGGAGGTCGATTTTGCTAATTATTTAGCACAAAGGACTTTTTTGCTAATTATTTTTTTAAAATGGTTTTTTTTTTTTAAATCTCCAAATATGGAAGGTTCAAAACTATTAACCAGTTTTTAGGGAAACTATTAGATTGAAATCAACCCTCTGTGAGCAAATGCCAAATGTTTAGCAGAGCAAACTATGAACAAGAGAGAGCTTTGTCATAAAACCTACAAGTATACTTACTGAGTAAATCAAGGTCAAGCTAGTGAAGTTTGTGTAAAAAAGGAACAACCAATATACCTTTGCATGTGCGTGAATGAACCTATGTTCACATTTTCCTGTATGATTTGCATGAGCAGAAGATAGATCAAAATGGAAATTTAGGTTTCCATTTATTTCATGAACATGATACTGTTAATTAATATGTATCTACATGTTCTGGTACTAGAAGGACGTAACTACACATATTAAATCTTGTCCATCATTCGTCAAACTCATTAGTTATGCCAAACATTCTGAAAACACTTACTCAACAAACTTGGTGAAATTTAAACTTACTGAATAATTTCTTACAGGAATACCAGTTTTATTTTATTTTTTTTATTTTTTTTTTTTGAGCATATCTCACGAAACAGACCAAATAAAAAAGGACCCAAGTCAGAAGATACAAGAACAGAGCATGCAACTAACTCGTAACTCGTAGGACTTAAAAAAGAATAGAGACATTACATGTCATTGATGTCAATGATTGAAAAAGAATCATTAAATATAAAGCAATAGATAACACAAATTGATCAATGGAATCCTCTTACCCTGTATGAAGCGTGAAAACTAAAGTCCCACATTGACCGACTATAATTATCATCCTTAAGTTCCAATGTTACCGTTGGATCTCCTTCACTGTTCTCAGAATCAGCAAGAGACCAATTCATGTTCCTTCCAAAACCATGCTGCCAAATCCAATATATTGTGATGTTTAAGAAGATAAGACAAGGATATGCTTTAAGGTAGTAAAAGCTACATAGAGATCAAACTTGATCCGAAACATGAAAAAAGTAGTAACTAATATTCAAAAATAGTGTAGATAATCTTCAAAAATAAACATACTGAATAGCAAAATATAATGAAATACTAAGCACTTACAGAATATTGTTATGGAGATTGATGTAAATATAAATATAGTAATTGCTGATATGAAAATTTGTATTGGAAAAAGATCTACACCTGCTGGATAGGACCTGGTCCAAACTGGGGAAAACAGTGTGGGATTCCTCCACTGGTACGTAGCAAAACATGTTAGACATCACCACTTTAAGATGTGAAGAAAAATAATAATAATAAACATTAAACAGATAGCTTCTACTCAATGGAGAGTTTAATTTTTTATTTATTGCATAGATAACAGTTATTACTAATCATGTTGGACAATTTGATCCAATGCACGTTGTTACAATCTAATTCACGACATGAATACGCCCAGGATGCTACATTTCAACAACAAGTACTTTATCCAATCATAGGAGCATATGCCTATGTAAAATGACGTCTAAATAAGGGCAACAAATTATTTTGCCAAGTATAATGCATTGCTTCCATTTAGTAATCAAAGTGTGACCCTCCATAAGAGATATTGCATTTAAGAATTCTCAAAACCCCCATCCCCAATCCTACTCCAACAGAAAAAAATAAAATAAAACAAATTAAAATACACTTCAAATAAAAGCAGAGGGAATACCTAAACTAATATGTTCCACAAATCTAAAAAAAATTGGTATCAACACATTGGAATGGATTAAGGCCAGTATACTTAAGTGAAACTTGCTTGTTAGATTCAAAACAGATAAAAGTAAGGCGTAAACAGTAGTGAGAGTCATTTATACATGACCTGATAGGTTTATTCCCATTGAAAACAGCATCTGGTCGAACAAAGAGGAGATCTTTGCCATTGGCAAGCTTCCAAGATGTGATACATCCACCAAATAGATAAATCTCAGCTTCGCTGCAAAGTGCAAACATGTAAGTTTTATCAATTTCTATTAAATTGGCATATCATATGCATACCAAAACTTTTTATGTTCCCATTCATTTCATGTACGTCAAATATAATATTGCATGATGACTGTGTTGCTTCCCAGAAAATCTTCAAATCAACAAGTAGACATGAGGTCACAACTGGCTATGAGAATGATTCAGATATTGTGGAGGTTATCCATTTTGACAGGACAGAAGGCTTCAATGTTGATGATGATATGTAATGTTTTGAATCACTGGTAGAAACCAATTATTTTCTGGATTTTCGAAGGCGATGCTAGAGGAAAAAGCCTAGACAGACTGATAATGTGCATGGGGGTGAACTATGTGAAAGTAGACGTATATAGAAGAACTCGAAAGATACACTTGGCAAACTATGTGATCCCAACAATGAGAATACAAGTTCAATGGATTTCCACAAGTCATAACCAACATAACCATCGTAATATATTCCAAACATTAAAAGACGAGGGATGAAGCCATCCCTTCCCTTAAATATTGAAAGAAACATATTTAAAACGGAATAGCAATTCCAGCAAAACATAACTCGAGGCTAAGAAATATATCTGAAGCTAATAAAACCTTGAAGTTGTCAGTAGATTTCAGAGCCCATGGTTTATCATTCATTTCATAACAGCAGCGCACGCACCCAATAACAGACATCAGCTTCCGTTTAAATCAAACCGTCCCAAATCCAGCAAATTGCATACCAAAAACGTGGAGAATGTGTGAAATGCTATAAAAAAAAAATTCAAATTCCTCACCTGCCACGAGAAGAGGTCAACGAGACCTTGGGAAGCCCGCCATTGCCCTCGCTGATCTTGACGCCTAAAGCAGCAGCAGTCTTCTGCTGGTTCAAGCCCGCACGAGCCCTGCAAACGACCCGATAGAACAAATCGCCATGGGTATGATTTTTTTTTAAAAAAACGAACTACAAGAACACTGACCGACTGACTGATTGGTCGATTGATTGAAGAATCCGGTTCAATTATTATACCTGAGGCTGTCGCCGAGGGGAGAACAGGAAGAAGAAGAAGAGAGCATCGAGACGCTGGAAGCCATTCCTCGCTCTCCCTCCTCCAACGAGTTTTTGTGAGGACCGGATAAGATTGGCTGCTTATCAAAGCGGAAGCGGAAGAGTTTAGGACAAATTTTCAAAACCAACCCTTTTAGCATTTTATTTGCAAAAAACGACCTATTTTGAAAATAATTACAAAAACCGACCTGTTTTCAGCCCAGCGCTGAAAACAGGTCGGTTTTTGTAAAAAAGTCTCCGAAACATCACGGGAGTTCAACTCCCGTGAAGTTTATCGAGAAATTAAACTTCACGGGAGTTGAACTCCCGTGAAGCTTAATTTTGCTTAAAACTCCACGGGGAGTTCAACTCCCGTGGAGTTACAGTCGAAAATTTCCAGCGAACCGAGTCTCTGGCAAATTGTGACTGCAACTTCACGGGAGTTGAAATCCCGTGAAGTTGCAGTGCCAAATTTCCAGAGACTCGATCTCTGGCAAATTTTCGACTGTAACTCCACGGGAGTTGAACTCCCGTGGAGTTTTAAGCAAAATTAAGCTTCACGGGAGTTCAACTCCCGTGAAGTTTAATTTCTCGATAAACTTCACGGGAGTTGAACTCCCGTGATGTTTCGGAGACTTTTTTTACAAAAACCGACCTGTTTTCAGCGCTGGGCTGAAAACAGGTCGGTTTTTGTAATTATTTTCAAAATAGGTCGTTTTTTGCAAATAAAATGCTAAAAGGGTTGGTTTTGAAAATTTGTCCTCGGGGATGGAGGAGCCGTTTTTGCCTTTTTTCCAGCTGCGTTTTATCGGCATGCGAAGTGCCGGCTCCATCGGCATGCGAAGTGCCGGCGTCATCATCACGCGGCCGTCGACGTCGAGCGTACGCCCGTCCAAATGAGCGAGACCTGTCCTCACGGCCTGCGAACTCGTCGACGTGAGTCTTATGGAACACCTGCGCTATGCTCTTCTTGATCCTGCTGAGGAGACCTAACGCCACCTGATCCTGAATCTCAGTCACGTGCGCATCAATATCAGCATCAATGCTATCTAAAACACGGACCTGCGTGGTAAACAATTTATTAAGTATCAACTCAATAAAAAATATTATAATTTAGCTTAGAAACTTACGTAATCTCTCTCGTTCATCCCACTAGGGATGTAACTATCTGTCGGTGGGCGTGGCATGTGTCCAGCTAAAGGCTGTGGGTCACGCGTGATCCATCTACGTGTGATACCCCAATACCAACGCATATACGTGGTATAGTCAACAGCTGTGGGCCTCGTATCCTGTATGCAATCCCACCTCTGAACCCACCTGCCTATGTAGTCCGCACGGACTACGGCCCAGTCAGTCCGGTGCGATGTAGGGCGCCGCCGACGATTGATCTGCTCGACAGGATCTGGAATATGCTGAGAGAGTGTAAACTGCCGTAGCACACGGTCCGGTACATGCATCTCTACGATCTCCCAACAGATCAATGGAACTCTGGCTCTCCACAAGCCGGGACTATCTCGGCAGATAGGTGCAAGAGAATGTATATCGAGCTCCGGCGGTGTATAGGGTCTCCACTTGAACTGAAATAAAGTAAAACATTTATCTTTATCATACAGAAAAACTATAATATTCATACTTCTTGAGTTTTATATTTACCTGTTCATGCTGGAGGCCATCAAGCTCATTTCGGTAAAACTGACGGTGACGCGTCGCTGATTTGTACTGAGCGTATCGCACGTTATACCTATATGCAGAATAGCGAATATATAAGTACAAATATTCAGGTTACGAATGAAATATGTGTGTGTACAATTATACCTGTATGCCAACGGATACTGCCCCTCTAAGTCACGGTGCATAAGTAAAGTGGGTCGTCCAATATGAATGCGCTCCCATGACCAAATCTGTATCAACGTACAGCATCCCTTGAATTCTTTATTCTGCATCAGAGATACTCTACTCAATTCTCGATACAAATATGCCAACACCGCACTGCCCCACGATAGTGCCCCGCATACACCAAAATCCTCCAGCAGTGGCAGCCATCGTGCATGTACGAGAGTCTTGCTCGCATCAGGAAATAGTACGCACCCTATCATGTGCAATATGTATGCACGAGCATGAAACTGGAGCGTCTCATCAGAGGCATCCTCTGGTATGTCGCCCTGAAATGTCTGACGAAGCCACGATAGCTTCATCGCACCACTCCTCAAGTCGGGAACCTGTCCAAGTAGCCGGCCACATACCTCCGGCCAACTATGATCGTCGGTGCCCGTAACTACCGGTCCATCAATCCGGAGCCCAAGTATGACGGCCACGTCCTGTAAAGTGATCGTGCACTCCCCTATATGCATGTGAAAGGTGTTGGTCTCTGGCCTCCACCTCTCAATCAAAGCAGTGATAAGCGGCCAATCAAGCCTGATATAACGAATCGTCGAACACGGTCGAAAACCGGCCTGAGCGATCAAAGCTAGTACCCTCTCATCCTCTATGACCCATGCCGAATGACTATGGGAATGCTCGATCATCGTGTACTCTGGTACGGGCTGCACATAAAACGAGAATCAGTTTTAAGTATATTCATTAAAAAATTACATTAATCGAAGAAATATATATCTAATTTATTCGTATTACCTCTCCCGAACCAATATGGTCTGAACAATGACTCGCCTGAAGGTACAAAACGTCGGGATTCTCCGGTCCCGGATCCATAATGAATAGACCTGTGATTAAAATATGAGCATATATACAGAGTGCATGGGTGAAATGAACGGAGTTGCATACAGAACATATTACAAATAACGAGTATCATACGCTTCAAAGATAACAACTACGAATGACATAGTGCAAAACGATACATAATACAAATCAACGCCTAATACTAACTGGACACCTATTTTTGTTGTGACCCGGTTGATCACATCTACTGCACTTATTTCTCCTCCTAGCTCCTTCACGTCCGTCATCCATACTATTCCTAGCTCCTTCACGTCCGTCATCCAAATTTCCAGAGACTCGATCTCTGGCAAATTGTGGACTGCAACTTCACGGGATTTCAACTCCCGTGAAGTTGCAGTCACAATTTGCCAGAGACTCGGTTCGCTGGAAATTTTCGACTGTAACTCCACGGGAGTTGAACTCCCGTGGAGTTTTAAGCAAAATTAAGCTTCACGGGAGTTCAACTCCCGTGAAGTTTAATTTCTCGATAAACTTCACGGGAGTTGAACTCCCGTGATGTTTCGGAGACTTTTTTACAAAAACCGACCTGTTTTCAGCGCTGGGCTGAAAACAGGTCGGTTTTTGTAATTATTTTCAAAATAGGTCGTTTTTTGCAAATAAAATGCTAAAAGGGTTGGTTTTGAAAATTTGTCCGAAGAGTTTATGCAAAGGGCATATTATGCCTTTTTCTTTTTTCTTTTTTTTCTTTTTAATTTTAATTTTTTTTTATGTTTTATTTTTCATTTTTCTTTACTTTTTTCACGAGCAAAGGATAGTGTCATCATAATGTTCAGCAGCAATTTTTGTCACGATCTGATGTGACAAAAAAAAAACGAACAAAGCGGAAAGAGAGAGAGAGAGAGAGAGAGATAATAATAAATCAACAAATAAATAATGATGACGCTTCTTCCGGAACTAAATACTGCATCCAACAGTCAACTCTTACTAAATTTATACAGAAATGATACACAAGAGCCAAAACACTAATAACCCTCTTCCAGCTATTGCATAATAAATGAATAAATTACAAGGATAACAGAAAATAACAGTTAACAAGAAAAGGATAAACAGTTAACAGAGGCCAGGAATTATCACCATACCATCAGCACTAGCAGAATTGTGCATAGCTCTGTAGACCGTAGAGAGCTCCCATACAAATCTAAGATGGACGATAAACAGTCTGACGTTTTCTTGAACCGAGAGCCAAAAATGGGGAGGAAAGGGAATAATAGATGTACAATTATTATTATAACCATGGGGATGAATTAATAACATAACCAGTAACTATGACAGAGACCCGACCGAGCATCCATCGAAGGCTTCAACTTAATTCATGCGTGCGTTTAGCAGATTCAAGAGTATTGCACAGCAGCATGGCAACCGTCACGGGCCCCACTCCACCAGGTACCGGTGTAATAGCAGAGACCACCTGTAATGCTTCTTCATAGCAAACATCCCCCGCGAGATAGTAACCATGCTCACTGTTGGGATCCTGCATCAATTTCTCAAACTGTCAACATAACAGATTCTTATTCCTTAGGTCTTCACGCATGCTAAAAAAAATGCTTCTTGTTTTGGTGGGGGGGGGAATTTTTATGCACATGAGGAACAAGTTTGCTTGCATTTGAATATTTAGTGCAAACCGCACGCAAAACCAAGACGCAAAAAGAAAAAGTAATTTTAATTACGTTAAATAATCAAAGGATCAAACTCCGAATTTTGGCGCGTACTTTCTCTCGAAAAGCATAAAAATGCATATAAAGAAAACGCTAAACACTAACACTATGAACATTGAATCAATCAGCAAGCAATTCTCTTCCAAAAAAATTCTCCGATTGCATGAGGACATCTCTTAGTGATGGCATTACCAAAAACATCAAGGGGGATGAGCAAGGATTATTCATTAGCAGTGATGAAATAAAGATGGCGGTCCTAAGTAGCTAGTGGCTTCTTTGCTGTGCGGGCATAGATGTCAAGCCTCTGCATATTTAAAGTATTTGATACAGGATCTTCCAAAATGATACAAGGACACGTCTTCATATCTATATACCATAAACCTATCAGATACAATCTGGTGTCAATATCTTTTATACAAAATTCCTGGTTCTCAATTCATATGTTTTAGTTTGTATTAATTAGAATTCATTGGAGTGTAAATGCCCTCAGGTGTCCAAATATGCAGTCTAAACATTAAATTTGAAATGTCCTAATGATATTGCGAGTAATGATGCTAGTGACCAAAAAGATGGAATAGGACTTTCTAATACTGGCAACATTAAAGGCCTTTACTGACGATGATGACAACAACTAGGGTTGATGATTATAGGAAGAGGGTAGTTGATGAGGAGGTACTATAACCTGTATGAAACTTTCCGCTTCTCTGTGGTAGTTCACAAATTCGAAAGGAAAACAGTAAGAAAATCCTAAAATCTGAAATAGTTACCTCGACTGGATTTGTCCCAACATCAATCACAACTGAGCCTCGCTTTAGCCAACTTTTGCGAACCAGATTGGGCACTCCAGCAGCTGAGATCACAATATCAGCTTCGCGAGTGATATCCTCCGGGTTCTTCGTGAAGGCATGAACTGTACTGACTGTTGCATGGTGTCTCTGCCAAAATACAAAAGTCATGCCTTCACGAAGTGAGCTAATGAAAAAGAACGTGAGTCTAGAACATTTATTTAAATGAAGATGAGTGTATATGTTACAAAAGGGAAGTGAGCTAATGAAAAAGAACATGAGTCGAGATTTCTGCTTGTTTTCTCCTTGAATGGAAATGTAGTAAAAAAACAAAAGATGGGCAAGGAGAAAATTTTAAAAATGTGTTTTTCCACTTTATAGTAGAAAACATAAAGAATATAATCACATCTCTAAATTTCCCTTTCGTCTATTGTCTCCCAAAAAACAGTTTTCTTTCATATCTTTTCTATCACTAGGAACCACAAAATCAGATTTGACTCAGATTACCTGCAAAAGCAAGGATGTAGGCAGTCCAACCACTTTACTTCGACCTATCACAGCCACATTCTTTCCCATAAGCTCGACACCCGATCGTAGCAACAGTTCAATGCAAGCCTTTGCTGCACAAGGAATGAAAAGTGGTTCTCCACCGCTCATAGCAAGATTTCCCACATTCAGAGGATGGAAACCATCAACATCTTTTTCTAGACTTATGGCACTTAAAATTTTCTCTTCATCCATATGCTGGTTTACAAAATATACAGCCATCAAACAAATGGAATGTTGATTTTCAATATAAATTCTGCACAAAGAAAAGCTTAAACAACAAAAAAAAAGGACTCGAGATTCTCATTAACTGTCAAATATAAATTCTGCACAAAGAAAAGCTTAAACAACAAAAAAAAAGGACTCGAGATTCTCATTAACTGTCAGAAGAGATCTGGTGCTTCCTTCAAACTCAATAGCAGTGACAAAGATAGAAAAGAGAGATTACTTGTGGGAGCGGTAGTTGAACAAGAATTCCATGAATCGACGGGTCTTCATTAAAACCCAACACAGTATTTAATACTTCGTCATCAGCACAATCCTCAGGAAGTTCTGCTAAGAGAGATCTAATTCCAACTTCCTCACAAGCCTTTGTTTTAAACCGAACATAACTTTGGGAATCCCTTCTTTGACCAACCAAAACTACGGCTAATCCAGGAACTTTCTTGATGGCATTGTTCATTTTTCGTACTTCTTCAGCAACAACTGTTCTTATATCTTGGGCAATTGATTTCCCATCAATAATTGTAGGGATCAGTTCATCGTTAACTGTGGAAGTTAGAAAAATAAATGCTTCAAAAAGATGGAAAAAGATCATATCCAAGCAAACCAATATATATGTATAATCTCGTATAGTGATATGAAATCTATTGGTCTCAGGAAACATAGACATAATAGCTAGCATACTAGAACATTAGAAATCTCACTTCCTATAATTTGTTAACTAGTTGTACTGAAAACATTTCTATAAATCAAACGAAGTTATAAAAAGAGGAAAATGAGATTGCAATCCACACTTACGTTGGCCAAATAAATCTCGAGTTCAATCTTTGTTTTCGAATATATGGAAAATGGTGTACCAAGGGTAGAAAGTTTTCAAATTAACCAGCATGAACCTAACAAAACCGCTCAAGCATGTTGGACAGTGACCATCAAAACCTTCCATATCAGACTATCAACACTGACCCATGTTGATTGTTACAATGTTGGACAGTGACCATCAAAACCTTCCATATCAGACTATCAACACTGACCCATGTTGATTGTTACAAAATTTGTATAGTACATCAAAACCTTCCATATCAGACTATCAACACTGACCCATGTTGATTGTTACAAAATTTGTATAGTACGGCGTGATATATATTGCACTTTAAAGATCCGGAATCCTTCCAGGACAGGCAAGTAAGCAAGCAACCAACAGCATGAAGCAAAGAAAAACACCCACGTACTCTTAACAAAGATGTATAAGGACGGAGGAGGATAATGTGCCTCTGCTCAGCAATGCTCCGCTCTTGAGTTAAAATCCCAAAAGGAATGAAAATAGGCAAGTCCGCAATTATAAGAAAATTCAAAGTATTATGTGTCCTTTGGCAAACTCGTACGCTCCTTGCTTTCAAGTATTTTATCCAAACGCACGCAGTGTTCAACCTAGTATAGTTCATTAGCAAAAGAACGTCATTCACTGACTTACTTAAGGCACTCGACACATTTAAGATTCAAGAATCTTAACACCGAGTTATTATGGATAAAATGAATACAATTCACTCAAGTCTCGTTTATGATCACTAAACTTTCTTAACACCGAGTTATTATGGATAAAATGAATACAATTCACTCAAGTCTCGTTTATGATCACTAAACTTTCAAGCATTCCTTTCCCTTTCCCCTTTTTTCATACAATTCACTCAAGTCTCGTTTATGATCACTAAACTTTCAAGCATTCCTTTCCCTTTCCCCTTTTTTCCTGCAAATTTATCGTCCTTTTTCGCGTGAAGACCGAGGCAATAAGATCAGAATTGACAATCTATTAACGCTAGCGTCCACCGAAAATTATCTATTAAGAAAAGGAATCGCAAGACATTTAAATGTAAAAAAGGAGGGGGGGAAAAAGCGGGGGATCATGGTCATAAGTTGCCCACCAGGTGTTTGTGAAAATGAAACCAAGAGATTCAACCAAGGATACACGATTAAATGGTTATAAAATTGGTTACCATGGGTTTGTGAGGAGGAGGAGGGGACGGGAGGAGCGGAGCTGCGAGGGGTCCAAATGTCGGGGAGGTCGGGACCCAATATATGACAGTCGCTCCTCTTCCGCTTCTTCTTGGTTGGCTCGTCCTCGCTGTGGGCGGAGCTGCTGAGGCTCGCGTATTTCATTAATAATAATGGGGGAGGCCTCGGAATCCGAGAAAGCTCCCCTTTCACTAATCTCGACAGTAGTAAAGCCCTCATCTCTTCCCCCGCCCTCTCGCTCGCTCGCTCAAATGAGAAGCGCCGCCGAGTGATGTCGTAATCCCCAAGGGAGCTGATGCGATTGCGTTGGTCCTCTCTGACCCGAACGCTGTAATGGGTCGGTGATGGATTCGGTGATGTACGTGGTTTTGAGTTCCCCACGGAAACGTCGATGTTTATAGGGATTTCATTTTGGCCCCTCCGTAGGCCCGTACGTGCTAAAAGGGGATTATGGAGGGATGCTGCTGCTGGTTACGTAAAATAACTACTACGTATAAGCAACTCGAGTTGCCTTGCTCCTCGTAATTATTTTCTAGTGATTCTTCTTTTTTACGTTGACACTGTGATTTTCGTTCGGATTGGGCTGTTGATTGTTTCCTTTGGCGCTTGAAAAAATTCTTTTTTTTTTCTTTTTGTAAGTATAAGTATATCTACATTATACCTATACTTCCTCTGGACGACTCGTATCCAAAAGTTGCACGATAACGTCAAAAGTCTGCCTGGTTTCATGGATGTTAAAAATCAAACACCAACATCAAGCACCAACCGATAACAGATCTATTATAATTATCATCAACGGTAACATCAAGCAATGCCCATCCTTCTTTATTTTCCCCTTATCACAGAATCCTTTCTCACCCCAAAATTTCACCACCAACGCTTCCCAACCTAAGACATCCACGCATGCACAGATGCAGTCAGGCCATTTTTTGACCTGGCCCCAGGACTGCCAGAAAATACAAAAAGGACCTTTCGTTATCAGAAAATAAGTACAGTACGACCATGAATACCAAGCACATTGGCAACTGTTCCTTGCAGATTATAATGTTCTGTTACAACATGCTAAATTATAAATGATTTGAGGACGATTAACAAGAAAAAGGTATAGACTTACAATGTATTATATCATAGAAGGCGCTCAATACGCCAGCAAAATCATCGTTGCAACTGCTAACATCCTCGCTAATATTTGAAACAAATTTTTGAATCTTTAAATACACAACAAGTCCATAGCCTATGACTATCACGCAATCCCCCATTTCCGCATGCATTCTCTTCATAATGTGTGTCTGATCAATCAGAGCTGCTGCTTGCACCGGGCTTCTTCCCCGTGTACTTCTGTGTTTTGCAGAAGATTAACAAAGACATTAGATGGTTACATAAAATTAATCAAGGATAGAAGTTTCGTCAATAAAATATTCAACTGACAAGTCTTTTAACCTGCAGTGAAGTTAGCATTCCTGGTTTCCTCCTACCTCATGAATACTCATCATCTTTTCTAGGGTTTACATGAAGCTGTTGGGTATAAAAGTAATGACAATATTATAGAGGGATGAGAGAAGGATTTGCACCTGCTTTCCAACGTTGAAGGGAATGTATTTGTATTTGATCATATGCAGTATCTGGCGCTTCATTGTCAGGAAGAAGAGAACAATCCAGTAAAAGAGAAGTATAGGCCAGAAGACAGGAACATCAAATACGGAGAAGAAGGTCATGACAAAAGCAATGCAGATAGCTTTCGTTATGGAATACCTGAAAACACAAGGGCCAATTAAGATTCCAGAAACGCAAGATTGAGCACTTGAATTGATTATTCAAAGCCTCTTCCAAACGCGGTTATAATAGATAAAATAGAGAATATCCATTCAAATACCCTATTCTAGAGTGAGACAGTACACCTAAGATGTTATGAAATAATAAAAAGTAGATACATTAATCAAAATAAGCTAAAAGTAAACAAATGGAACCCACAAAAGTGGCTTCCAGCACGGAGAGGGTATAACTCCAGAAGTCTCCATTTTGAGGATCTGGGCCATCCAGACAGTAATATAACTTAGTTATGCGAGCCTTGGCAAAAATCTTTGAAAAAGTCAATATGTTTACAAATCTGAAAATTTTAATTAAGAAATGCATACTCAAGTAAGGTTGTGAAGCTTCAAATTAGAAGAAGAATAGCAATGTACAACCATTACAACTCAATAAGGAAGCCACTAAAAAACTCACGAAGCAGACAATAATTGTTATGTATTTCTCACACTCAACCATAATATTTGCAGATCCCATCAAAAAGCTAGAAAGCAAATCCAGTACATGTTTTTAAGTAACAGTCGAGCAACTTCATAATCAAATTTTTATTTTCCATCATCACTGTAATAAGAACATGAAGAAGAAGATGACTACAACATTAAAGATCAGAACAATGAAGAGGAAATAACAGAGAGCCTTTGAGCCCATTCATCTTCACATTCAATGATTTGAAACACTGATACTGGGAGCAAAAATGAGAAAGTAACTGACACGAGAGACCTAAAGAAAAAACTGGCAGAAGAAAAACAAAGGAAAGAAAGAGCAAGAATATCAAAAGGCTTTAAATAAGGGAATGAGATTAGATGATGAGAATAGTTGAAAATAAGAAAGGGATGAGATAAATGGAAAGACTCGGAGAGATGGATTGCAAAGAATGGTAAGGTACATGCGATAACATCTAAAGTTTGAAGCTAAATTTGCGATTCAAACATGATTTTTTTAATACATCTAATCTTGAGGAAATCTTCAATAACTGGGGAACTGTTAGTAAAAACTCATCTAATTGAAGGACATAAAAAATTTGAAGTCAAAAGGACGTGGGAAAACATGTACAGGACAAGGTAAAAAATGTAGCACTGTCACAATTTAAGAGAATATATGCTAAAATCCCAACAATAAATGTTTTTCATGATGGCATATGGTATAAAGCTGTGTGGGGAAGGCAAGAATTAAAGATAATTCTGTCTTTAGAGAAGCTGCTGGATGGAAGTGACATTAGAGAGAGAAGAGAGGAGGGTAGTCAGCTAAGAATACGCGGGTTCGGGTGCAAGTGCATGTGCGCGTATGGACATGTATGTGTGCATGCATGTGACCGCGCGCGCACACATATAATTTGCATAAGATCAAAATTATTTTTTCATTCAATAGTAATGAAAATTAAAATTACTATAACATTTTTACTTTCCGTTTATTATATAGATCTGTAAATTAGAAAACTGCTTACTTTTTTAACCGAATATCCAAAAGGCCCCCTTCAAAATTATAGTTCAAAATCAGGTATGGCCGAAATGAACCCCACCCTTATCAAGAAGTGCAAATACTTTTAGATATTAGACTTATGTCGAAATTGTGCCACATAAAATGTTGGCAGGGAACAATGTGCACAATCTAAAATTAGCTCGTAACTCTTCATAATTGATTCAACCTAAATCCAAGACCAACAAGACTTCCATTGGGCTGAGAAACATCAACATGAGCTCATGTTAGGTCAGCTTATAAGCATAAGAGCACTCTCTGTTGGGTGGAAGTGATAGTCCAATATCGAAGCTCAACTAGACTTCTAATCAAATTATAGGTAAGCATTAAAGTATAGTTGCTTAACCAATGTTCAACTTGACAGAGCTGTTGGGATAAACATCTAATCAGCTACAAAGGGCCAAGTATGCACCCTCATGCATGGATCATCAAATAAAGATATGGTCAGCACTCAAAAACAAAGGCTACAATATTTTGGATGAAGTAAACTAAAACATTGAGGAAGCAACAAATACATTCCAACAGTGGTTGTTATTTGTTAATATGATAAACAAGGTCAGCATTTCAAAAAATGGGCAGAAAGTAACAACAAATGCAACCATAACATAATTGCAACCGCATTCACATGCATGAGTTGTTATTGCTTATAGCAAAAAAAAAAGTTTGCAACATGCAACCGTGGATATTTTATTTAGTGGTAAATTGTATTTGCACAACCTTCCCTCCCACATGCAATCAATGTTGGTCCATGTGCAGTTGCACCAACATAGTGGCTTTTACAACCACAATTGCGATGCAAATTAAATCCCAGTGAGGGAAATTAATGCACCATAATGTTGCATGAAGCCCACTTGCAAAATCAAGTTGCAATGAACAAACAAATAGACATTTTGGTAAAAGAATAGCTAGGCTTCATGCGAAAAAGAATATTTGGCTCATTATACATAACAAGGTGGAGATTATTGGTTTCTTTTCTACTTGGATTGTGATCAAACAACTGGTAGGTAAGCACAGCCAGTTGGGAAACAAAGGCAGTAGATATTAACTGAACAAGGTAAAGTTCATCAAAATTTTCTTATCATCTGGAGAAACAAAATTGGAACATTGTATAAGGTAACAAAAAGGCAGGAGCATAGGAGTTGGGAACTTATGGCAGGGGAGCATACAATATCCTTTCTACCTCACAAATTTTGTTCTACTCATGAATTTTTTTTCCACAACATTTTGTTCTCAATTTGCTTGCTCCAGGATAACAAGATGCTAGGGCCTAACAAGAAGCCTTTTAATCACAAGCAGACCATTATGCATCCATCACCATTGAAGATCACTTGTTTAGCTAGATGTATGACTGTTTGCTTCGGGAACAACTTTCTTTGTTGCTTCCATTAAATCGTTTAAAAAAAACACAAGAATAAGCTTTACATGAGTAACTCTCTTCTTTTATTAAAAAAAAAAACAAAATTGTGCTCCCTAGTAACACACAGAAACTCCTACATAATAATCTCTACTTGCGTGGGATTCTTTCCTGATGCGTTATCCGTGGACCGCTGAGCAACGTTTCCAAGTCGGATATGAAGAAGGCTTGAAGTTAATGTTTCAACGGGAAAACAATAACAGAAGTAAGTGTCTTAGCGAGGTAAGACAAATATTCTTCTCAATATCAAATCTAAGTTTGAACTCAAGGAAACACCAAAGGACTCTTGAGAACGCTTGAAAGTGGATGAAGAACTCTCTCTTGCTCTCAAAGTTCGCCAAATGTCAGCCTCTATCTGCTTGATCACGCCTTGGTTCCCCTGCACAAGTGTGTAGGGGGGTATATATAGAGGTTGGGAGCCATAACCGTCAAGTAGGAGTGAAAACACTTGATGGTCATTTTCTCATGTGGGCGAGACAGTGGACACTGTCACGGCCAAAGGAGACAGCGTCAGGGCCTTTGTAACTGCCGCCCACTACCTTAAAGTGTGTTAAATACCGCACTTTTCATGGGTAGTGGGCGTATTTTCAGGGTGTAACTGCCCATTAACGTTAATGAGTGTCCCTAACTAGTTATGGAGCTAAGTGGACCACACAAAATCCCATAAAACGAGCTGGAAACTTGGGAGGCTATCTCGTAGTTGGCGAGACAGTGGAGACTGTCTCACCAAGTGTGAGACAGCTCCAAGTCCTTTTCAAGTTGTCGTTTTATGTTCTCCTTTGCTTCCTTTTGCATTGGATGATCTTCTCTGATTTAGATGATGACGTTCTTTGTCTTCTCTCTGTCTTGAGCTGAGTTTGGAACCTATAGATAATTTTTGATGCCTACAATGACACAACCAGTTTCATCTGAAAATTCTTAATCTCTTTAGCATCGATTACTTAAGAAGAATGCAGCTGTCGTTAGGAGTCTTGGGTATGATAAAAAAATTCCAAATACCAATCGCAATCCCGTCAATATCATTTTGTGACCACAATTTGTAAAGTGATTGCTTTTTTTTTTTTGGCAATCCTCTTCTTTCCCCTCTTATCTCTTACCTCTTGTAAATGTTGAAACTGTGAGAGGGAAGACTCAACTTCTTTAGCAGGTTGTTGATAGAGAATCTTAACACTAATGGACTCTTTCACATGAAATGCCTCAAATAGTATTTACACGGCCGTCCAAAAACCTTTAACTCCATTTTACAGGATTTGGTAAGAAGTAGTAAGCTACACACCATCAATAATCCTCTTGATAAAAATCGACACTTTCAAATGTAAATACGGGCAGTTGGGCGCAATTTCCTTGACAAATTCACTCTTAACGCATTCGGATGCATGGGTCCTCCTCTGGAGTAAATCCACAGACAACTACGTTAATTAATGAACTACAACCCCCAATCCTCCCTCCCAGACAACCACTAACCCTCGTTAATATCACCGAGAAGAACACAAACTCTAGCTATTATAAACAATGACAATATCAGCTAAACAGACGAAAGAAGAGAATGAAGGTGAGAGAACTCTCCCTGTTAATTCTGCCGCATTCATCAAAATAGATCATAAAAAAAATCAAGAAGAAGAGGGGGGAAATAAAAAGACAAGAAACTATACCAAAACTTGAACTCAGGGAGCCTCCTCATGAAAGGCTTGAACTCATCGGATCCTCTCGTGGGCAGAGATGGCCCATCGGAGCTCTCCAGCTCCGGATCCACAACGGGGGAAAGAAACCCAATCAAAAGATTAAGCAAGTAAATCCCAAGCCCATAGCTCACAATATAAAACCCCTGCAGATAATAGACCCTCAATGCGTACACGAACAGAATCGCCAGCGTCCCGATCCATCGGCCCCAGGAATTGGGCGTCGATCGATCGAGATAATACTGATAAGTTCTCGAGAAATTGGCCTTCCATTTAGCGATCGAGGGGGAAGGACCGTCAATTGAGCCTCCCTCCATTGAGATCTAGGGTTCTTTTGGGGGGGGGAGGAAGCAATTGAAGGTTGGGGATTTGGGGATCTCAGGTTAGGGTTTTCTTTGGCTTTAAATTTGGGGATGAACGGGAGGTTGAAAGAAGTTGAAAATTTTTTGAGAGCTTGTTTGGTTGGAAACGGATCTAGGGATCCGACGTGGATTTGGTTCTACTTCCTTTATGTGGATCCGGTTTGAGATTATTAATACTAGCTCGATTGACCCAATTCCACTGACCGTGCTTACCCCTGAGGTTTACAAGTTGGCCTGGCCCATTAGTATGAAATGAAAACTACTGCGGTGCTTAGATTTGGGCCGCCAATTGGCTCCCGACTGGCCCTCTATAGGTCAAGTGCTAATGGGCTGATACCATTTCTAAAAATGTTTCTGATTTGATTTCATTGGTGCCATATTACTCTCGTACGACAGCTAACAAATGTTTGGACGCCTTTCTTAGATATTATATCATTCTCTTTTTAAAATTAAGAGCTCTGGAAAAATTTTCTATAGTCATATTACCCTTAACTTTTTTTAGATATTACATTGTTATTCTAATCCATTCTAATTATCCTATCTTCTTTGAAGTGGTAATTAAATAATTTATCATATTCATAATATGACTTAGCATGTTATTGGATAAAGAATATATGTTTGATATAATTCAAATCATTTACTTATTTCAGTTCGTAGAAAATCTAAAAGACATATGCTAGCCAGCACTTCAAAAATTTTAAACTTTGTAAAAAATATGCTCCAAGTTTTTAAATTGCAAAAACACCCCTACAAATTTAAAATTTTATTAAAATATCTTTAAAATGTAAATTTTACTTATTTTAATTTAGTGAGAAATCTAAAAAACATATGCTAACTAGAAACTAAAAGTTTTTTGACTTTGAAAAAAAATATCTTATAAGTTTTGAAAATTATAAAAACACTCCTAAAAATTCAAAATTCATAGAAAACACATTGGAAATTTCAAACTTATAAACACACTAAAAACCTATAAATAACATAAATAACTCCCAAATTTTCATAGAATTTGCAATAAACACTTTGAACTTTTTACAAATTACAAAATAAAACTCTCAAAATTGTAAAATTTAAAAAAAATCCTGATAATTTCCAACCTAACAATACATTAAAGATATAGGAATTACAAATACACCTACATAATTTATATAATTTATAGTAAACAATCCTTAAAGTTTTAAAAATTATAAACAAACCCTTAAAATTCAAATTTTACACTTGAGAATTTCAAACTCTTAATTAAATTAAAAACATAGGAATTATAAATTGTCTATAAATAATTTATAATTTATAGAAAATACCTATAAGTTTAAAAAATTATAATAAACCCCTAAATTTCATAATTTACAAAAAGAACACCATGAGAAGATCTAACCTATAGACACTAAAATGAATATACAAAACTAATAACAACCCTTAGAAAATTAAAATTGTGTAAAAAATATCATACTCCCTTTAAAAATATAGGTTTAGAAAAAACTTTTCATGGTCAATATTACCCATAATTTTTTTGGAAAAGAACATAACTAATTGAAAATCTATTAAATTTGAAATTTATAAAAAAACACCATAAAAGTTTAGTATATTGCAAAGTACCCCTCCAAAGTTTGAAAATTTTCAATGATATTTGTAATTCCTTGATTTTAATGTAATATTCAATAGTTTTGTATATTTATAAATTACAAAATTTTATAGTTTGTTTTTATAATTTTTAAAACTTTTAAGGGTGTTTTTTTTCTTCTAAATTTTCATTGTATTTGCAGTGTAATGCATAGATACGTCAATTAATGATGATATTAAAGAGTAAGTCATTCTAAATATGTATTAAGCCATAGTTAAGTGTGTATATCACTATTCCTAGGTAGTATAGTTTATATATGCAAAAAATTTATACAATCTATATAGTTGTTAAAAGGATTTTGACTTTAATGTATTATTTTTTTATAAATTATATTTAATGTGAACCCATCATATAATTTTGATTGTGGTCATCATAATTTTGATATGTTTCATTTTTTTTTTGGTAAATGAACTGAATTTTATTCATTTCCAAATGTAACTTTGTGAAACATAATTGATACGTTTCATTGATTGACTATATAAGTATATAGAACATAGATTACTTTACTTTCTCACATAAACTAATATTTGGCGTTTAATAATTTAAATTATTATTTTTAAATTTAATATAAAGAGAAGCTCTAATAATATTTATTTATTTACCTATAGGATAATACAATCTCAATTCCTATTTTTTCTTAAGATTTATTCCATAATTACGTGCATCAAATTAATTAGTAACTAAATTAATAATTATGTATGCTTAAATTAGGATGATTGTAGTTGGTCACTCATGCACTATGAAATTTTTATGAAGATATATATTTTACTTTCTATAGCTATCTGCACTGCCCATGTATATTTTATAAATTAGTTGTTAATTGAACATATTAAATTACTTTTCCTTTATACAAATTTCTTCTTTGACTTTTGGATTGTGTAATTACTATATAATCATCCTAGCATAGAAAGAACCTCACTTTAAATGGCTTCAAACCAATTTGAGTTGAACAAAAATATATACTATTGCCGCTATATGTATATATTTTTAAAGAAAATCATGTCAACATTTTTTAAACATAAGAGAATATTCTAACCTCTGATATTATACAAACTAAATATAGCCAATTAAGTGATTAGCAAAAGAGAACTTACATCAGAAAAGCATGAATAATAAGATAAAGAGGATAGGTAATGACATTGTCAACAGCAATACCAATAGCAAACTATAATATAAAGTTAACCTATTTTGTGGAGCCAAACTACTGGCTATAAGCATCAAGGTTTCCACATTTATACTTTATAATTTATTAAAAAGGATCATATAATCTTATATATAAAATTAATTTAATACTAAATAGTAATATCATTGTAATAATATCGTTACTAAGGAAAATTCTTCATGAACCAGTATGTTCTTTATGTTATATAAGCTATGCACTCCAATTTCTTGTGTCTTTTATAGAGTCAAAAAATTTGAATACGAGCCTCTAACATTTTACTTTCACAACAGTAAAATCCACTTAGCAGATGTGGATATTCCAGATGTGTTATATGGCTCATATACAATACAATTGCTTAGGCAAGTGAGTTATAATAGCATTTTTAATTCACAACGTTTGTGTGACGCCCCTGGGTTCACACAAGGCTGCAGTCCAAGGTGAAACCAAGAATGTCAAACCTGCCATGCACCACACCGTGCAACAACATGTTTCACCATCACAATTAACATCTATCTAGTAGAGTCAACAACAGGTGTAGGTACAAAAGCAAGTAAAAGATAATACAAGAAGACTGATGAAATGATAATAATCAACTTAATGTCTCATCATCCAACAAACAGAAACACATAGTCAAGATCTGAGTAGATAAACTGAAATACTCGACAAGTCTCAAATAAAAATATCTGACAAGAAGGAAATAAGGCACACAGCCTTTACAACTTCTAGAACAAGACTCTCAAATGTCTAAACACAAGTCTACTGTGGAACTCCAAAAGAAAATATATAACTAGCTAGACAGCTGAAGCTAAAATGCATCGCCATCAACCTGCGACTCTCCGGGCTCCTGGCTCGTTACCTGAAAGGGGGAGGGACAACGAGCGTCAAAGCAAAATAATCCAAACAAGGAAACCCTCATGTATATACCTATATCTCAAATTGTAAACCCTAACCACCAAACCCGAGGTTCTAGTACAGTAACAATAATAAAGAGAAGTGCAACCCATCTCAGAACATAAACTATTGTATTCTGTCATAATCAAATAAGTGTCAAAGGTCTAAAGTTTCATAAGTGCCATGTCCTGATTCAGATAAGTGTCATACTCATAGCTTAACAAATGGTCAACACGTGGTCAAGTGGGTAAATATCCACACGTGGACTGAAATGGATTATAGTCCAACACAAGGACTTTAATGGATTATAGTCCAACACGAGGACTTTAATGGATTATAATCCAACACGAGGACTGAATTTAACATAGTTTTCCCAGTACATGGGCTAGGTAGTGATTATCGATGAGATGAATGAAGAAAGTGCACATATACAAATTTCACACGCGTCTCGACGTATAAGTTCTAAGTTTGGTGCCCTCAGGTCATCTATCATGCTTAGATTCATGGCAACAGTGAACACTAGTATCAGATAGTCGAGGGAAATCATCGAACACATGAAACACTCAGCAAAATCCAAATCTGCACAATATTGTGTGGCGGTCGACCGCACCGGTCGACCGCACACGGAGATGAAGCCCACTGTTCAGCGTATATGCTCACGGTCGACCGGTGCGGTCGACCGCTAAGACGTCGCGGTCGACCGCCCCGGTCGACCGCGCAGAGAGCAGACGTGCTCTGCCCTTACTGCGCGCCCAGCGGTCGACCGATACGGTCGACCGCGAGGTAGACAGAATCCAGATCTGGATTCTGTCAGCTTCTAAACTTGTAACCCTTTCTCCGTGACAAAACTCAACATATGAATGGGTCATATAGCAGTAAATCACGATATCTAAATCTTTAGAATTTCACCAAGATCCCATATATGAATATACACATAATTTAAGCAAAAACATAGGTGTAGAAAAGCAAAAGAACAGGTTTTTATTTCTTTCTTATGCTAAAACGTTTTCAGATCTAGATCTTGTTGATAAAAGTCCTTTGGTGAGCTTTTAAAGTTTGAAAACATGATTCTCATAATATGTACCATATAGATCTACTATCTCTACAAGAAAATATGATTTTTGGCCTAATAAATTCAATAAAAACTCAAACTTTGCATGAAAACAAAAGGGGGTGGAGTTGGGCGAGAAGTTACTCGCCTCTGGTGAGAAATGAATCCCTAGATCTGCAGAAGATTGATCCCCTTCGCTGAAATCCAACAATCCCGCTGAAAATCCTCAAGAACTCCTCCCAAATCACCAAGCAAGGAGAATTAGGGTTTTAGGGAAGAGAGGGGGGTTAGGGTTTTGGTTTCAGATCTGAGAGAGGCTCTCTGGGGCACATTAGCTTATATACCAACTCACAAACCCGACCCAAAACCCTTTTGAACCCGAACTCAGAAAACAGCCTGACCGTT